GGGGACAGAAGGGAAAGGAGGCCCACGTGGCTGCCTGGGCAGAGGGGGGCGTCAGAAAGGGCACAGGAACCCTTGGGATGACGGGGAGTGTGGTGATGGCTTCCCGGGTGACTACACATGTCAAAACTTAGCTAACTTTACACTTTAAATATGTGGAGTTTATCATATTAAATTATACCTCAATAAACTATTAAAAAACGAGAAGTAAAAAGCCCGTAATCTGTGTAAAGCATTTAAGACTGCCGGGCGTGTAATAGCTGCTCGTTGAAAGTCGGCTATTTTTGAGGGCTTATGTCTCAAGGTCAAGGGCTCAAAGCGGGCTACGTGGCTTCGGGAAGGGGCCCTGGCGCCCCCAAACACACCGCCCTCGCGGAGCCAGGCGCCGACGGCTCTGCTCGGCCAACTTCCGGTGGAGCCTGCTCGCCCGCTGGTGGCTTCCGGCGGAACCGCAGGCCGCGTGCCCGGCGACGCCCCTCGCCGGCGGCTCCTCCAGCCCGTCTGTCTACACCCGCTCGCGGGCCTCCACAGAGACGTAAGGCCGCCAGCGCGGAGCTGGGTCAGAAGCGCGCAGATGCCCGTGTGCTCCAGAGCCCTTCCCACGAGGAGGCCCATGATTGGGGGGCGAGGAGAGAGAGGGGACGCCTCGGGTAACTCCAGCCACAGCTGCTCTTCAGAAGGAACCAGGCCCACCGCGCCCTCCCCACAGCCTCCCCTCGGGTCCTGTACTGCCGTCTTCCAGGGCAGCCGTGGCAACTGCAGAAAAGCCCCTGCCCCAAACCCTCCAAGCTTCCTCTGTCTGGGGAGTCCAGACTCTGGGGAGTCTGTCTGGGGCTCTGCTGCTGTGGCCCTGTAGACAGACAGACACACACGTGTGCACCACGGAGTCGTGATGTGGCGCTGGGCCAACTGGTGTCCACATAGAAACAAAAAGGTGGGACAGGACCCCCATCACCCACCATCCACGAAAATCAGTACCATGCGGGTTGTAGTCCCAGTGAGAAAGGTAAAACAATGAAGCTCTAAACACGTGGAAGGACGTGGTGGAATCTTCATGACTTTCAGGGGCAGGCAAAGAGTTCTGTAAACAGACAGAAGCAGGGCTTTCCTGGCGGCGCAGTGGTTAAGAATCCACCTGCCAGTGCAGGGCACACGGTTTCGAGCCCTGGTCCCGGAAGATCCTACAAGCTGTGGAGCAACTGGGCCCACGAGCCACAACCACTGAGCCTGCGCTCTAGAGCCCGTGCTCCGCAACAAGAGAAGCCATCGCAGTGAGAAGCCCGCGCACTGCAACGAAGAGTAGCCCCCGCTCACGACAACTAGAGAAAAGCCCGCGCGCAGCAACAAAGACCCAACGCGGCCAAGAATAATTAAATAATTAATTAATTAATTAAAAAAGACAGAAACAGTGATAAGCATAAAGAAAATTGTTGATAATTTGGATTATGTTAAAATTTAAAACTTCTGTTCATCAAAAGGCACTGTTAAGAGATTGAAAAGTTGAGATAGGGGGGAGATATTCATAGTACAAATATTCAAAACAGAATCCTTACCCAGAATGGGTAGCAAACTCCTACAGATCAATAAGAAAAAGGCATAGAAAAGAGGCAGAAGCACTGAAGAGACACACATCTTCACAAAGGAAGATGCCAGTGGGGACTTCCTTGGTGGTCCAGCGGTTAAGACTCTGGGCTCCCAATGCAGGGGTCCAGGGGTTCGATCCCTGGTCAGGGAACTAGATCCCACACGCTGCAACGAAGATCCTGACTGCCGCAACTAAAGACCCGGTGCAGCCAAGTAAATATTTAAAAAGAAGATGACAATGGCCAGTAACTTCATTCTTAAGGAGAGTGCTGCACCAGGCGGTGACAGGACGTAGACAGTGTGGGCACAGACACACTGGAGCGAGGGCACAGCCACCCCGGAAAACTGTTGGGCAGTGTCCTCTAGAGCTGGACAAACACCTCTGACCCCACAACTCTCCAAGACCGCCAAAAGAAATGTTCCAGAATGTTCATAGCATCACTTGGAATAGCAGCAAACTGGAAATGACCCAAATCTCCATCCACAGGAAAGCGATGCACGGATCACACGTGGACCACCCTCAGCGGCAAAGTTGACCAACACAGCCCTAGCCACCGAGTCCAGAGCCTGAGGAGGAACGGGGAAGAGGACTGTGGGATTAGAAGGCAGAGCCTGCTGAGAGCACAGGGGCATCTTTTGTTCTAATGAGGCTCCTGGGGGGGCTGGTCACCAGAAAGACCAAGCCTGATGAGAAGCGTGGGATTTTCAGCCCCACCCCCATCCTCTTGAGAAAGGAGAGGGGCTGAAATTGGGGTTAATAATTGATCATGGCTGTGTGAGGAAGCCTCCACAAAATCCCAAGCACCGGAGATGGGTGGAGCTGCGTCCACGCTCCTTCCCATGAGGCCCTGCCCATCTCCCAACCTGGACCCTCATCTGCATCCTTCATCCTACCCTTTTATAATCAACTGGTGAGCGTTAGTGAATGTCTCCCTGAGTTCTCTGAGCTCCTCTAGCAAATTAATTGAATCCAAGGGGCAATGGGTCGTGGGAAGCTCACATTTGTAGCCAAGTCAAACAGAAGTGGTGGGTGACCTGGGGACCTGCTCCTTGCCATTGGCGTCTGAAGTTGGGGGCAGTCTGTGGGACTGAGCCCCTAAGCATCTCCAGATATTATCAGAATTGAGTTAACCTGTCAGACACGCAGCTGGTGTCACCGAATTGCCTGGCGTGGGACACCCCCCCCCCCCCC